TACATTTTCTCAGTTTAAACATTTGATATGTCATCTATGTTGTATTCTGAATAAAATATTGAAATTTGAAACTTCCACATCATTGCATTCTGTTTTTATTCACAATTTGTACAGTGTCCCAACTTTTTTGGAATCGGGTTTGTACACTGTAAAATTGTAATTTATTTTTACATTATATTTTATATTATTATAAAACGATTTATAGTGTGTTTGTCTACCGAAACTAATAAACCGTGTTCTTACCTTGCTGCGCATCGCCAAGATAAAATAATAAAAAAATTAATACAAAACACAAAAACATTCTACACAGGAAATGTTTAAAAACTAGAGCCTATCATTTTTTTGTAGTTGTTCTTTCCATTTTCGATAACATGGAAGAGCAGGTCTACATCAAACTGAAAGTAGATTTTGTTTGTCTCTTCCGGATTGTGTTGAGAGCACTGCTGCTCCTCATCGGAGGCTTAGTAATATTACACTTTCGCTTTCACTCCTGGGTAGGGTTGCACCAGCCATTCGTAAATCCTGACTTAAATTAGAACGTTAAGTCCACACTAGAGGCTTAGTAACTTTTTTTTAATTTTTTTTATTAATGCTCAAAAATCAAGATTAGTACACATAGAATAATACAACCATTAACATAAAAAAGATAAACAATAATAAAAAAGAAAGAAAAAGAACAGGAAAAAATGAAAAAGGGGGTTGTTAATACATTATAAACTGAAAGAATAAAATTCAGATTTACATGTCATTAAAGATAGGAAAAGAGTTACAGATAAAGTTTTTAAGGCTTTTTTGTTCTTAGGGACAACTGGATTAATGAAAGGTATTGCTCAAAATCTTTTATAAAAACAAAGAAGAGAGGTCTAGAGTTTGAATATTTGCATTTGTGGATGTGAAATTTTACAAGAAGCAAAATCAGATTCACTACATGAAACTGTTTCCTTTTAGATTGTTCATACTCAATAAAAACCCAATACTACGTCCTTCCAAAACAGAATACATTCATTATAAATGTTACTCCTAATGAAACTTAAAACATCTTGCCAAAATGTCTTTGTAAATGGACAGTTCCAAAAGAGATGAACAACAGTTTCAACAGAGTCATCACAAAAAGAGCAACTGAAGGAAATATCACTTTTGATTTTTTTCATGTAATGCTTTGCAGGATAGAACTTAATTATTTTGTAGGAAATCTCCTTTACTTTGTTAGTTAGTAAATAAGTATGAGGAAGCATCCACACTTTTTTTCCAGCAGATGTTACCCACTGCATTATTCCAATAAGCAGTCACAGCTGGCAGAGTAATAATATTCTGCTGAAATAATTAACTAACTATCCTATTATTATTTTTGTATGGAAATGCAAAACATAATCTACCAACAAAAGTATCAAGCAAATTAGG